AAAAAAAAAAAAAAATCTGTTGAAGCAAAAGCAATGACATAATTTTAATCACATTTTTATTTATTATTACTTTTGTCAATTTCAACTTACTTCAGTGACAGCTGTTCTTGTCCCTTTCTTTAATGGGAGGGCATGAATAAATTTGAGGACGAGTGTGTATATATACTGGAGACAACGAGGTTTCAGGCTGGGGTTGATATTGAAACAACCCAATCAGTCCATGACTCACAACACTAGTATTGTATTTAGCATTAACTAACTAGATAAAAACATTTTCCAATCTCTTATTCCATGATTCATTTCTTGCATTTTATACAACTAAATTGATGTATAAAGGTTACGCTGACATCTGAGTAGCTCAAAGTGTAGCATAAGTCTCTCATCCGACCAGCAGAAGCGTCTCACTGACCTCAGATTTAACTTGTGAATTATTTACTGATAAAGCAATGTTTTTCTGTCTTTATAGTTTTTTTTTAATATATATATTTAATATATGAAAAAGTATCCACATATAACCCACAATAACATGATTTCATCAATATATTGTCTTCTGTAAAAAGTTTATTTTTGAAAGATGTGATGTATTTACAAAGAGAGGTACATGCATCAAAAATCATTATCAAAGTGATTTTAGCATTATTTATAGCTTGCATTTACAGCTGTATTCTATGCTGGATCAACAAGCTCAGAAATACATGAACATTTAGCAAAATCTGTAAAGCGCTTTTAGTCATTTTGAGGCTCATTCATGGCTAATGCTTGTAGAAAAGGAAAGTCATCCCAAACAATGACTGGATCTGGCCCATCTTTGGGTACACAATCATGGCATGGCCCAAAAAAACACTGCTCCCTTGGCATCCCATCAGACCCCACATTCTGGTAGCACTTTGGACTGAAGGACTCTTCTGCCTCCAGGAGGGGTTGTGTGGATTCAGAGCGCAGGTAGACAGGAGGCTGTGTGGGAGGTGGACTGTTGCACGGACTAGAAAATATCACGGTAGCATAAGGAACAGAGTCGCTGTTTGAACCAGAGTATCCGGGGATGAACGGTGAACCACAAATGGACTCTCCCAGGTCACTGGTGTCCTCTGCACTGTTCAACCAAAGATCGTCCTCTTCTTTGCTTGGCTTCATGGGGAGGTCCAGGAAGCTGAGGTGGGACAAGTATATTGGATCCTCTTTGTCCCAGGAAGGATAAGTATCCTGGAAAAGGAAAATCAAGATGCTTAAATATTAGTATAGAGCTGAGGGAAACTGTGGAGTTAGTCATGATTCTCTGTAGGGGTTCATCCATTTTAGAGATCCCTGTATTAATCACAGTCAGTCGATCTGTTGTTGATGTGGAAGTATTGGCTATTGCAGCTTTAAGCTAACATCTGAAAAAGACAGAATAAGCCTTTTATCAGGTGGATGTCAGCTGTACACACCTCCGTTGACTCCGATGACCATCTTTTAATGCTGCTGTTAGCTGGGTCTGGAACAGCTGGCCAGAAACGGCCCTTTAACCTTGAAGTAGAAGAACAGACAAAAATTGTGTTAGGAATATCCATCCATTATCTATACACCGCTTAATCCTCACTAGGGTCATGGGAGGGCTGGAGCCTATCCCAGCCGACTTAGGGCGAAGGCAGGGGACAACCTGGACAGGTCGCCAGTTGTTAGGAATATAAAAAAAAAAGAAAAAAAGAAAAAACAACAAAACAAAACAAAAAACCCATCAAAGACTCATGGCTTAACACGCCATGGCAACGATCTTACCTTTTGTGTTTGGAGAAACAAGTCAGGACTATGAAAATGATGAACAACGACAGTCCCACACCAGTTGCAATTACAATCATCACAACAGCAACTGTATCTGGGAAAAGAAAAACACATCCGATTGGAGAAAACACCTTTTGTTCGTTTGTAGTTCTTATACATAAAGCCAGTACCAAATGATACCAACCGAATGGCTCCATTTGGAAATGAATCGTCGACCCGTTGAGGCTCCCGCCAGATGTACTGACCATCATGAACGCTTCATACAGAGACACAGTGTTGATATGTTCAAGGATCACCATCCTCTCCTCTGGACCAGCGTCCACAACTGAAAGAAAAGTCAGACATTAGAGAACATCGAGCTCATAAAAAATACTTTTACAACAGCATAGTTAAGATTTTTAACCTACTGTTGATGGGTCCCTTTTCATTCCAGTAGAAGATTTTGTACTTCTGGATAAAGCCATTCCTCCAGTCTAATGGTATTTCTTCCCAAGTAAGCTCAACGTGTGAATTCCAAGTCCTTTTAATTTGTAATTTTGGAACCATGGATGGAGCTTTAAAAAAAGGAATATTGTCGTAAGTGATTATTAAAACTGTAGAGAGCAGTCAGAATTTAACATTATACATTACAGCTTATGTCTTCAGTCCTGCTGGCTAGCAAAGGTAATTATTCATTTCTGTCCACAAGAGGGCATTACTCCATCACATATCAGCTGTTCCCTGAGAAATTGCACAATATATATATGTGTTTGACTCTTGTGCAAACTCTTCTCACTTCTTCAAAGTTGAGGCAGCTTGACTCTCACACCTCTGCTTTCTCTTTGTGTGATCCTCCTCGTGTCTTTGGTGACTTACCCTTTTGTCTCAAGTAGGCATTAGCAGTCTGAGGAAGGCCTATCCCGTCCTTAAACCTAGGATATACAGAGATCCCATAGGGCTTGTAGGGCTCAAAGCTGCCTATTGATGAGAGTGAAGAGGTTAGAGTGGATCAGTGCCCACAAGATCCTAACACTGTGCAGGCAGGTTGCGCACAGGAAAAAGAAAATCTTGAACGGCGGAGATTGTTTGAATTCTCGTCCTTAAGGATGATCATCAGGTTAGGAAAACCAAACAAAAGGTGAGTAAAATAAGAAGCACGGGGATCTTCAAGCATGTAATACAAATACTATGAAACATACCTGTAATAACAAGGCTAGACTGGTTCTTGTCGGCAATTTCAAACTGGATGTGAGAGAGCCCTGGCTTCAACAAAGGTTTCCATTCCACCACAAAACCAGCAAGATCAGAAGTAGGTACACTTCTCCACTGGACCAGTAGTGATCTGTCACCATGAGGAATGGCTGTGATGTCTGATATCGCAGCACGATCTACAGACCGAAAAAAGAAAGAAAGAATGCATGTTGTTGGAAAAAACCGTACTTTACTGTATCTTATCTGAACCATTTTAAAGATGTCAGTAACCTGTAGGTTTGGATATCCGAACTTCAGTGGGGGAGGATCTGCCTGCTGCATTTACAGCACTCAGGTACACTTTCTTCATTTTCCCAGGAAGCTGAAAAGCACAATGATTCTCCCTTGTAGAGCACACCTTTCCTTTTTCACCTGGCAGTTTTTGCACCGAGACGATATATGACACGTTTTGGCCGTTGGCACGGAATTGTTTTGATGGCTATAACGGGAGAAGAAAAAAAAAAAGTGAGGAGGCAGGCCGCACACATTCCACCAGAACTACAAGAGAAAACACATCAGTTTGTGACAGGTGTCAAGCAACGCGTGTGATGTGTGTACCTTCCAAAACAAGTGTATGTTGAGTTGTTTGGGCATGTGATCCCCTGATACTTTCATCCACGAGTCTTGGCGTCCAGTGGGAGCTGAAAAGAAAGAGACGGCTGTCAGCATTGCAGTTTGTCAAAAGCCCTACACTTCTCCTCTCACTCCTTAGAAAGTAAAACTTTTCTATACAAGACAGGTTTATGGATTCACTACGAGAGTGTGCGACAAAACTCAATACATCAATTCAGCCTGTGCTACAGAGCAAAGCAATGGGAGACGCAGAACATGACATTAGCATATATTGAAAAGACCAGGAAATGGAAGAAAAGGCAATAGATTGGAAAATGTTAAAGCGACTGATTGTGTCACTCTGAATTGATCTCAGACCTACCGCTCTCCAAGGTGACTCCAGACTGGCTGCGGCTCCATTCACTCCAGGGGCTCTGCTCGTATCTGACTCTAATCTGGGCAAAGTACCGGGTCCAGTGACGGAGACGACACTGGTCCAAAGGTTTCGATGGTTTGAGGCGGCTCGCAAAGACCTGTCCCAGAACACACGATCCATACAAGTGTGAATCCAGATAAAAAACACTGAACTTCCTGCAGGACATATTGATGCTTATATACTTTATCAAACATTAGAAACATCAGATGCTTTCACAGTGGATTGATTTGAACTTACTGTCAATTCTCCCCATTGGTTGCTGTCAGCAGTCCTGAGACGGACTTCCAGATTCATATGCTTGTTACGCATCCAGAGCTGGTTCGGGGATAAGCTCCACCTCAGCCTCAGGCAGCCATATCTTTTAGGCATCACTTGAATTTGCAGGATCTCTGGTGGGTCAAACTTAGCTGAAATAAAACAGTCGAGAAAGCAAAAGATAACAGAATTAGCTTTCCCCCCCCAATTGTTTAATTTTTTCTTTTCTAAAACTAATATTTTCGAATTAGACCCAGAGTTGGTTCCGCTCATGCATTACCTTTATATTTGAGTAACAGCGACAAGCGTCAAACATTTAGAAAAATAAGAGGTGACCTTTGAGAAACCCAGAAGAACGACTACAGCAGTCCTTAAGGCATTTCTGTGAGCCACAAATGCTGCTCGAACCATCTGGATGAACAAATATACCATTTGTTGTGTAGTAAAAAAAAAAAGCTTCTTAACTCAGACTTTAAGGTTTTCTGAATCCAAACAAAGACGGTTGCTGAAAAAGACATATCCTTTTTCCTAAGTTGTGTGGCATTACAATAAAGACAAACAAAATGCATTATTTTCAGTTGTTCAACATTAATGCTACTGTGTTCTGTTTTGCATTTTCCAAAAAAAAAAAAAGATAAGCTGTGTTATTTCTAGCTACCAGTACAGAAATATATATAGTTTCAATGTAGCTATTAAAGCTTCTTTTTAATTGTGCAACAGATGAACTGTTTTTTTCATCAGGACAGTTGGATAAGATTTGAAGTGTGACGGTTTTCCTTCAGAAGAATGCAAGCTGTTGTTAAATAACCTTCTGGGTTGCTGGACATTTCTGTTTTTTTAAAAAAAGTAATGCTAAATTTAGCTCTGCGATTCAAATGTAATAGAAGTTGAGGTGATAAACATCCATCCATCCATTATCTATACACCGCTTAATCCTCACTGGGGTCATGGGGGGCTGGAGTCTATCCCAGCTGACTCAGGGTGAAGGCAGGAGACACCCTGGACAGGTCACCAGCAGTGGTTCATACAGGGCGCCCACTACTAATGACCAGATAAAAAGTAGTTCTCAAACACAATATTAAATTTGAATTGATTATAACAAAATGATAATTAAATTAATAATGACGTTCATATTCTTTTGCCACATTAACTATATTTGTATTATTAACAGGTTTAAAGTTAGTCGTTACTGCGTGTTCACTAGTTTTACACTTCCTGGATGTGGGGCGCGGCCACATGAGAGTGTATGTAGCTCGAAAAACTTTTCATGATCATGTGACCTCAGCCCGGGCTCTGATTGGCAGCTGCAGAGTTTCTCACGGGGCGCAGCTCTGTGCGTCCACTTTAACTGTAAGCCAGTTAATTTTGTCTTGATGTTCTTATGACCGTGCTTTCTGACGCCGTCACGCGGCCTTTCCCGTCGCTCTTCTACCAAATGACAGCTACTGTCGTGACGGTTAAATGCGTTGGCCATGCTGTCAATGGAGGCAGGACTGGTCACAGAGATGAGTGACTTCAACCAAAAAGTCATAGACAAGTTTGCTGAGCAGAAAGAGAGAAGAGCCATTTATTTGTTCAAATAGCTCCAGATTGCATTTGCGACCTTTATTTTAAGAGTGTGTGAATTGATGATCCTGAAGCTGTATTAGTGTCGCTGTAACCGGCACAGGAAGCTGCTGTGTCGACCACAGTGGTGGAAAGTAGGACTTTCATAACTTCGGTGTACCACGGTATTTGCGCTTAAAAATGAGGTCTTCTCGTGAAAAACTGAGTGTTTTCCCGCTCATAGAAAAGACCGCGTGTAGAATACGTGTAACTCGGTTTAATCTCGGACAAATCTGACATTAGAACCCCCTAGTTTATTATTTTTTAAGTCATTGTTGGTCAAAGCACACCACAGCCACCAAGCAGCATCTACCACAGCCTGCTATGTGGGGCGTTTAGGGGACATCAGTAAATCGTAGCATCTATCGATAAGAAAATGTTCAGCAAGTCGTTTTGCCTTTGACCAGGTGGGAGGTGCAACAAAAGGAGAAAGTGGGTCGTACTGGTGCTACCAGTGAAAGAGTTAATCTGGAGCCCTGAATAGTGTTTTTTTCAGTATTTATGTTGTGTGTTATGAGTTTGTACAGATCCTGTAAATGTTGAAGAAAGTTTGATGAATGGTTTTGAAATTTAGTTCTGATAAGTCTTAATAATGTGAAATTAGATTAGAATATCCTTCATGGGTAGACAGTTTGCATCCCGGTAAATAGTTGTGCCTGATGTTGCTCATATTGTAATTTAAAATAAAAGGTCATTTGCAGACTGCACCCCCCCACTGGAAATTGTCACCAGCCACCACAGGTCACCAGTCTATCACAGGGCTACACTTAGAGACAGACAACCAAACACACTCACATTCACACCTACAGGCAATTTAGAATCACCAATTAACCTCAGCAAGATTTTGGACCTTGTAGGAGGAAGCCGGAGAACCCGGAGAGAACCAACGCTGCACGGGGAGAACATGCAAACTCCACGCAGAAGGATCCCGGGTGTCCTCACCGGGACACGAACTGGTGGCCTTCTTGCTGCGATGCAACGATGCTAACCACAGCGCCACATCTACAACATACAATATGCATTTCTTACCTGCACTAATGGGTTCCAAAATGATCGGTGCTGACGTTGCCTCTCCAAGGTCATTCTCGGCCTTCACGTAAATTGTCATGTTAGAGAACAGAACGAAGTCGGAGCGCGGGATGATAAAATGCTGAACCCCTGGTGGCACTTCATAAGCTTGATTCTGGTGCGAATCCCTGAAATGACGAAATCATATTGTGGGAAACTTAGTTGTGCAACTTCACTGGCATATTTTGGAACTGAAACTCTAAACTGACACCAAAATGGGCAAGTGAGTTCCCACAAGTGAGTTCTTGTTTGCGGGCAGAACATTTTACTGTATCTCAGTGTAGAGGGTGTAGTTTGTGGGCAGGTGGGTCTCCCGTTGCCCAGGGTCCCAGCTACAGGTCATGGTGTTGGCGGTGAGGTTTGTTTGACAGCTGAGATTTTGTGGTGCTTCTGGTGGATCTAAAGATGCAAAAAAAAAAGAAGATTTCATTTATTTATTTTGTTTAATGGACCTGTTGAAGGTGTCTGTCATGCTTTTCCAGCTGGTTTGTGAATTCAGTCTACTGGCACCAGCAGTTCTAAGGCATTAGCGGCTGATCTATGGTGCGATAACATTTAGTATTTAATTAATGTGAAACAAAACTTATTGAATTAATCATAGTAATGTTAATAGAAAGTCTGGTGCAACACATCCCGTCTCTTTGCAGGAGATTTATTGTTTCTGCACAAGCTCCAAATAAATAAATGTAATAAAACTAAATATAATCTAGTGATGCAAATCAGTTATATGTTGGCATAAAAAGTGTTACTTCGCTGTATATCTGGACAAAAACTACTAATTTAAAAAGTTTATAATTAGCCAAAATTGAAAAGCTGCTTGTTTTTTTTTAATGTAATATATTTATCTTCTCATATAAACTTCCAGTTCGGTTCTAAAATATGTTTCTGTCCAAAGATCTATTAAAGTGTGTCACATCAGTTAGATTGGATAACAGAAAAATTGCTAAGTTTCATGTTAATTAAAATGTTCAGTACTGAGGTTTTACTTTCCCTTTTTTTTTTTTTTACACTGAGCTCCAACAAACATAATAAATTCTGCTTTTAAAAACTGCCAAACATCCCCAATTATGTTTCTCCCCTCCTGCCACTGGAGACGCACAAACAAGCAGCACAGGTGCGTTCATCTGATCAGCGAACAAACACTTGAAAGAACATTAACTCTTCCTCACATCCGGCTCGGATCTCCACTCCTGCCACCACTTGAGCGGGAGAGGATTGGATACAGCAGGTGAGGGACGCCCTGGAGTGATTGAAGCTTGATATGACAGCCTCAGAAACTCTGGCGCTCTCATTGGCGGCGGAGCTGCTGGGAATAAAGCGATCGTCGAGGCGCCACTCTATCCGGACAGCTTGACCGATGACCAGAAGGCAGTCCTCTCTGATGACACAGATTGCCGTGACGGGTGACCCCATGAGCACCACCGAGCTGGACATCTGGACCGTCGCACATGGTTGCACGTCATCCTCTAGAAAAAATGGATCTTCTAGGCAAAGAAAGCAAAGGTGTAATAAAAGCTGTCTTGGTAATTGCAGGTTAGGTATTTCCATTTCATTCTCAGACTCACCACTCCTCGTCGCATTCGCAAATGCCACCGCCACGACAATCACTACCCACGTGGATATCATGATGATAAAACCTGTTAAGCAACCAAAATGAAATGCCTTATTCTCAAATTACAAACATTCGTGCCCTATCAAAACAATATTGCCATTTCTTTCCGAAGCGACACGCTGCATTTGCGTGAAGGGAAGAAATTGAGAGCGATAACGTCTGTCGCTTCAAAACACATCATCAGCATGGGTTTTTTTTTTCCAAGGGGTTTGGATGTGATCTCCATAATATTTCAGTATAAACAGCATGCATTTACTTCTTCCCAGAACTCTAGCAGCAGAATAAACCTGCAGTGCTGTTTGTGTCTGTCGAGCACATACGGAACAAATCCCACCGCTGACATATGACACACTCAGGAATAATAAAAAGCCATATTCCTGGCAGCTTGGCTCAACGTTTATGCAATGTGATTACACAGGAGATGCAACATTTAAAGCTCTGCTAGCTGATAAAAATGAAATTTAGATTCTCTGTAGACAAAATAAATAGATATCACCAGTAGCTGTCTGGTACTGTATTTGTCCTCTTATGCTGATCTATTAGATGGGCGAAATTGCTTCACTCCTCCAAGGGAAATTAGTATTTGCTAGTTGTTGAAAGCTAACTGGGCACCACAGTTGATTGATCATATATGTATATTAGGTAGAAAATAGGGGGGGTTTAAGCAGATGGAAGCAATTTCCCCAGCATATTGTACTTCTGGTATTAAGTCAACAACCTGCTTTTTAAATCCAAGAATCATTTGGGACATCACAATACGAGCACAGGTGTGAGGGAAATTGAAATAAATTGTGAGCACTGTGTTTATGAAACACTCACCATTACACGGGCATGGAAGGTTTAAATTCTCAGATAGCTGGCTGCTGGCTTACAAAACATCCCCAACAAGACTCAGATCTTTACAGCATGGTCATATCTCAGTGCTGTGTGGAAGGAAAGACGGATAGCATTAATTGATTTGGTTGGCTAATAAAAAAAATAACAATTTTGCACCTGACAATAAAAGCACAAGTAAATTAATCACACATAGATATATGTATGTAAATGTGGTTTTCAAGTATTTTTCGTGTTGAGATTCACATGTGAAATGTGGTTTTCCTCTAAAAAACAGCAGGTTCAATGAGATTTGATGCATGCAATTGTTTTTTTTTTTTTTTACACGTTTCACAACATATTTCACTTATAAAAACAACTGTTTTATTTGCAGGATCAGTTTGTAGTGTCTGGGATTTATCCATCCATCCATTATCTATACAGCGCTTAATCCTCACTAGGGTCGCTGGGGGACTGGAGTCTATCCCAGCTGACTCAGGGTCACCAGTCCATCACAGGGCTACACTTAGAGACAGACAACCAAGCACACTCACATTCACACCTACGGACAATTTAGAATCACCAGTTAACCTCAACATGTTTTTGGACTGTGTGGGAGGAAGCCGGAGAACCTGGAGAGAACCCACGCTGCACGGGGAGAACATGGAGACTCCACGCAGAAAGATCCCGGGTGTCCTCACCGGGACGCGAACCGGCGACCGTCTAGCTGTGAGGCAACGATGCTAACCACCGCTCCACCGCGCAGCCCTCTCCGGGATTTAACAAACATAAAAACTGAGAAAACCAGTTTCTCAAATTACTCAGTACATTTTAATTAGTTGGTAAATGAATAATTTAAAGATTTGTCCTCTAGAAAACTGCTGTAAACATTTTTAACTGTCTTGTGGAAAGTTTAAGAAAAACAAAAAACTAATGTCAGACTACTTACTTATAAATTGCAAACGATGACTCGATTTACACCAAGAAGAGCCGATTAAACGTGTCACATTTCATGTACAGAATCAAGTTTTATTGTTTTCCCTTCAGTAAATCAAGCTTCAAATTCATTACCTAATGTTAGTAATAATTCTAACTGATACCATCATTAGATCCTAAATGCGTAATCATTAAGTACTGCGAGGAACGCAACAGGAAGGAAAGCTCTGGTGTGTTATCTGACAGTGTGGCAGATAACCTTTATTGATTTCTCCATCAGAGATACACAGACGTCCTCACACACACACACACATAGCAACACATAGCAACACATACATGATACATGCACACACAGGAATCCAGTAAATGAGACCACAGCATTGCGAAACTTCCTGTGGTCTTTTAACGCCACGTCACGGCCCCCCTTCCTGATTCTGATGACAAACTGAAAAATCCACTGTTTCCAATATCTACGTCTTTATTGTCAACAGTCTCTTGAAAGTTCGGTTCGATCTATTCTTGAGGGCGAAGACGCAAATTGAAATAATTTTTATTAGATTTCCGTTAATCCAATCTTCTAAGTACGTCTGGTCTGGAACAACCTCGTACCTTCGGAGCAGAAACTTTAAGTCTAGACTGAGAAATTGCAACAAGCCCATAAGATGAGGAAGTATTACTTATAATTTGTGTCTATCACTCAAGCTGTCTGGTCGCCGTCCTCAGCCCACAATGAGCGACTATTTCGGTGAATTCTGCATTTCTCTGTGAGAGAAAAAATGAAATTTCCCACTGTTTCTTATCAGCAATGTGCAAAAAGGGCCCCCATTTCCCCTGCTTCCCTTTTTTAAATATCTGCTTACTACTAATAGGTAATTGCCTGTGGCTCTGACAAAAGGCAATTGAGTGAATGAGAGGGAGGGAGAAAGGGGGGGAGAGCTGGCGAGCGTATTAAACTTGGAGTGCATTTTTATAAACAAATGCAATGACATACTTAAAATAGAGACAGCATAAATTAAGTCTGGCTATTCTTTTTTTGTGTGTGTTGACCAGTTGTGTTGTTGTAGATGGGAACACGCCATCGGGATTCATTTTCATGTCTCAGTGAGTCATGTCGCTATGTGCAAAGAGATGTTTTGCTTCAGCCTCTGTACATTTCCTTTCCCGTTGCTGTCGGGAGGGTTACAAAACGCCCACCTTTCAGGATTTAGCAATATCCTTCAGACAAAGTGCAATGACAAACTCTGCCGGTTTCCCCTTTCTCGTCCTATTTCTCGCTTTCAATAAGGAATTTAAAAAGGGTTAAAGAATTTCTCTTTGTATCCCGAACGCTTATTAATTATAGAAGGATTCTCTTAGGCTCAGAGATGGTGACCTTCTGTGTCAGCAGTTGTAAAACTCCCGAAATCTAAGAACCCAGTTTCATGTTCCTCTTTTTGAATGGATCATCAGAACATCAATCTGTACGCTACGTCCAAAGTGAAAACATTCACAACAGCTCACGAAACTGATTTAAATAAGCTAAAAAAAATAAAATAAAAACTTAAAATGCTTTCCCTATTAAATGTTAAGGTGAAAAACCTTTACTAGAAGGGTCTAGTGAGTTATAATTTTACACATTTACCCTGTTAAGCGTCTAGTACCTCCACGAAGTACTATCGTATCTTTGTACTCCTCTTTAAATCCTAAATATTTAAAGAAAAATGTGCTGCCAGTGTTAGGCATTTAAACACCAAAGTATGATAAATGGCACAAGTACAACACAGAGTGACCAGAAAAATCAGATCAAGTGTGTGTTTTAAATGAAATTAGGTTGAGTGGTCCACAGCTCTGGATGAGGATGCAACCATCCAGCCTGAACCGGTGTCATTCCGAAACTAGTTTTTGTGAAGTTTTCCTTTTCAATCTGGCACAAGTATCAAAATGAAAGGCCCAGCAAATCGCTTGATGTGAAGATAAAGGAGAGCCATCAGAGAGGCTTGCCACTCACCACACAGCAGCTGCAGCAGACCCAGAAAGACAAGAGGCTCTCATCAGCCCTGATAGCACCAGATGAAACAGTGCGGCTCAAAGCAGCTCAGATTGGAGGACATATGTGTGTGTGTGTGTGTGTGTGTGTGTTAGCCAAGCAGCAGCAGCAGCAGCCACAGCAGCAACATCCTTGTTTTGAATTTGTGAAACTTCGCTATTTTTCAGGAAGAAACACATGACTGGTGGGGCCCTGTTAAGGGAAGGAAAATG